ATGAAAATTCCATCATTGTTTCTTAAATGGCATGTTTTAAGGTTTCAATTACTATGAATAAAATATTTTTCTTCCATCACTCTTGGTTTTATTGGTTTGTTAAAAAGGTCCCGTTTTTTTGGGTCAACCTGTATTTATAGAAAAGCAGAAGCCACATCACAGCGGTGGGAAAGTGACTGAATTCGAGATGCCATACCAGGACCGATAACATTACAGGCCTTTCTTTTCTTTTAAATTTTGTCAAGAATCTCGAGATATAATAGCCGGAGCACTAGACTGGATCAGTCATTTATGTGCCATGCGTGATACACGCTTAGGCGATCATGTATCTTTCGATACACAACTGACAAGGCAGATTTTTTTTCCCGCAGTCGATTGCCATTTCTTTCTGTGATAGACAGTTGGCATCCAAGGATATAGAAAACGGTCTGTCTTGCTATTTACTCATAACTGTGTGGAGAAGAAGAGGTATTACCACGTACATGAATGTAATGGATTCGACTGGAATTTGAACTCGGCTCTCCGATTCTTCAACCAGACTGGATATGACAGCAATATTCAATGTACAGACGAATGGAAGAGTTATAAATGTGCAAGAATGTAACTAACAACCACAGAGTGATGATTAAAATCATCAGATATAAAATGAAATAAATATTAAGAATAACTGATTGGTTCTGTTAAATCCAGGTTTCTTTTAATCTGTGAGGAATTTGTCCAGCATTCATTACCATATAAGAGGAGAGATATTACATAGCAGTTCAGCACTCTTTCTTTCTAATAATTTTTTTCTGTTTTTATCATTTTAGAAGAGGGGTCCTGTTCATATAGGTATCTTCATGAGATCGCTAAAAACAGAGCATAGCATGATGAAAAAGACGCTAAATTTGACGAAAAAAAAGTTTTAGCGTCTATTTATATATTAAGAGGATTTTTTTTAATTATTTAAAAAAAAATTTTCTTTCTTTTATAACATTCTAAATTTTAATTAAAAAAACCTTGTTTCTTTTTGTGTCACCGGAACTAGTAAAATAACATACAATTTTAGCGCATTTTTTTTTTCTGTATGACAGACATTAATTTTGAAAATCTTGCAAAAATAAAAATAATTGTCGGATTTTAATGAAACTTTCAAAAACTATTCACAAATGATGGAACTTATTATAAATGTTTTCCTTTTTTCACATCACGGTAATTTTTTTTTTCATATGTATTAAAATAACTTATTGTACGAAAACTCTATAATTTCTATTTTGGGAAGATTAGTGATTATATTAGTTAAAAGCGCAAGGCTTTGAGGAAACCAAATCATGTTTTTATTTATTTTTTTTTAGTTGGACAACCTCTACCTGAAAATCATCTCTGAATTGTAACATACAAAACTCAATAAAACAAAAATATTATTTAATTTCAAAAGCTTTTAATTGCTTTTATTTATTTTAATGAACATGGACAATGTTGTCTGAAAGCAAAAAGATATTTCGATGAAAAATGAATTTTTAAAACAATTATTTGTTATTTCTGAAATATTTTATTATTTTTACATTATGTTGCTAATTCTTCTAAAATTAGGGAAAAGTTTGTAGAATTTAACGAATGTTGTTATTAAGTAGATATATATTTACAGATTATAATTTCCAAAGCTTCTTACAAACTAACGAACAACAGAATATAAAAAATATATAATTTGTCAATAATAACACTGTAAATCAAATCTACGGAAGACCAGAAGTATCATGCGTGCAATAAAAAAAAAATGTCAAGTGGACTGAGTTTCTGTCTAGTATTTAACTTAAATACTGAATTTTTAATAGAATTATTTGTTATTTCTTTAATTATAATAGATTTTTACATTTAATTTGTTAAAATATTATAAAATTAGTTAAAAACTGCATTCAGTTTCGTAAATATCCTTTTGATTTATTTTTGCGAAATACGTGTGGAGAAGTTAATTTGATTTTTCAATTTCAACTGAGAAGGGTACCTACAAGTATCAGTATCATCTTATGAAATTTAAATTTGTATTTTATGTACACTTCTGGTAAAATTTAATAAGAAAGGTACCTATAAATTAATTAGATACCTATGAAATTTAATCTCAATCTTAACAGTCTTATTTTAATTTCTTTATAATATATTTTCCATAAAGCATCGTAAACGTAAAGGTGAAAGCTAAGTACAAAAAAAAAAAAAGATTAAAGCGCTGAAAGTTTTCCTTAAAAATAACGAGGTAAATAATTTGTTCACTTAAATCTAAATAACTTCACTTCTCTCCTTCTTTAGAAGGAATTATCCTCACGTAAGCTATAAAAACGTCATGAATGTCTTTCGTCACCTGTCAAGTGACGCGAAAGTTTATGACCTGCTTTGATTTATTTTCAAACTACGTCTTGTCAGCAAAATTGACAGATAATCGATCACGTCAGCCATTTTTTTCCAATTTATAAAAAAATGAAAATCCCTGTTTGAAATTCTTTTAAAAATCAATTATAATTTTTTCAAAACTTATTTTAAGAAAATCAGAAATTATAATGTTTATTTAAAATAAAGATTTTTAACGAAAATTTTGGACGTGCTAGGAACGATTAAAAAATGTAAAAAAATACACCCAAAATACTTTGATCTTTCTTCTTAATATTAACATAAACATTTAGATGATAAAGTTTTATTTTCGTCAAGTTTGGTGTCTTTTTCTTCATGCTATACTCTTTTTAGCGATCTCATGAAGGTACCTATGTTCATATAATATAAATAAGTCACAAATCGATAATTGACTTTTTATAGAATTATCGGGATTAGTATTTTTATTTACAAATAACATGATCGAAACAGTGCTTACATCATTAATATCTATATTTTTTTTAAATTTTCTGAATTTCAGAAACAATTTTTTTAAACTTGTTTTTTTTTCAAGTATTTTTTTCGGAAGAACATACACAAATATTAGTGAATAATACTTATCTTAAATGATAAATAAACTGATATATACTTATTAATTTATCTAAAGTTTTGTTCTTTATTTGAAAGAAAAAATTATTTCTCTTTACGCAGAATAACTAAGTTCCGACAACTCTTCCAAGTCGGGGTGAATTTTACACTGTATCGCTATTATAAACAAGTCCCCTTCCAAAATCAATATTTTTCGATTCTGACAAGTGTCACGCCTTGAAAAAGGTCTAAGGGATGCTAATCTATAAAAATTATTCAACGAAAAATGTTTCCCTAGATGTTTTACGAGTTGACCAATCTATTAGAACATTCCGACGCTCACTCCTTTCCGAAATTCATATGGTGAAAATGAAACTTTTCACCTGACTTGCAACTGAACGATGCAAGTTTTTAATCTAGGATACCCCAGCAATCGGCATCAAAACAAACGCCAAGGTGCAGTCATTTTATATTAACAACAATGAAAATCGGGCACGAACTTTTGCAATGATCTGATATTAAAAGATAGGAAAATGTTCTGAGAAACAAAGAGGGAAGAACTAAACTGATATGCAGTATCTAGTCCCATACAAGCCACTGAATATCCTTAACTTTCCTCGCAGATAACGAGATTTAACGTTACAGAAATAAGGTTCTACCGATGGAGTCTTACTAAATCAGTGACAGGAACTTTGAGCAGCGAGGAGGTTTTAATGAGAATATGTCCTAAAAGGAATTTGATACTAATAATTCTAAAGAGACAGTAATAATAATAATAATAATAATAATAATAATAATAATAATAATAACATCTTGTAGCAGGTTGTACGGTGTTGGCACCCACTGAATATAAAACCCGACATGACAGAGTGGGCCAATATCTGCACTGGAAAATCTGCAACTTCTACGGGAAGAAAACTGAAAGAAACTGGTATGAACACCACCCAGACCCGGTTACAGAGATAGGACCTGTTACAATTCTATGGGACTACACAATACACACTGACAGAACAATCAAGGCCAACCGCCCAGATATTGTTATTAAAGACCACAAACAAAAAACGGTGCCTCCTTATTGATATGGCAGTCCCTGCCGACTGCAATGTATCTTTGAAGATATTCAAAAAGTTGTCAAAGTACAAGGACCTTGAAATAGAAATCGCGAAAATGTGGCATATGGGAACATCAACAATCCCTGTTGTAGTTGGAGCCCTAGGAGTGGTTGGAAAAGATTCCAGTAGACTAATTGAAGGGATTCCTGGAAGTCCATGACTCAAGGAGATACAGAAAATTGTTCTGACAAGTACAGCCCACACCTTACGAAGGGCTTTATCTATGTAATCATTTTTTTTTTTTTTTTTTTTTGTCAGTGGAAAGTGTCATGACGCCATTTCTAACCTTAGGTCCCTGGGCGGGACCCGGAAAGAAATGTGTAAACGCCAGAAATCAAAGAAAATAAAAATAATAATAATAATAATAATAATAATAAATAACAAGAAGCATGATTCAAATAAATCTTACAAATGTCCTTGCCAGTTCCGACGCTTAAACCTTTCAGAACTTCATGAAGCATTATATGGCGGATGAGCATGTTTTCATCCTCCATCTTTAAGGCATTCATTTGTAGAGAAAACGTCAACATTCAACAAAGTTTGACTCGCAACTCAACGATACAAGGTTTCAATTTGGAACAAACCAGGAATCGGCACCAAAACAAGTTCCAGCGTCAAGTTGCTGTCATTTTATATCAATAATGAATACCGAGCACGAACCTTTGTAATGTTCTGATACTTAAGTAGGACCAATATTATTGATTGAATTGTTTTACGGCTTATCAAACTTTTGCAGGTTATTTAAAGCCATAAAATATTTTTTAGATTCTAAGAATTTTATGAGATAATAATGATTTACTGATTCAAGTCCTACTAACCCATAGCCGGCAGAAGAGGTTGATTCATGCCATCCCTAAGGGTATTTGTAAATGAAGATAACGAACCCAACTGGAATTGGAACTCAGCTCTCTGATTTCCAATTTTGTGCCGTTATCCTTTACACCACCCACACATCAAAACTTACAGCACATAGTACTCCCAAGTTATCACCCATTTCGTTATTGACCAGGCTCGACGTTGCTTAACTTCACTTATCGTACGGGAACCTGTATGTCAACGTGATATGGCCGTAAGCGGGACTAATATTAGTACAGAATGCTAAACAGTGTGCGTGTGCGTATGTGTGTGTGTGCACGTGCATGTGTGTGTGCGTATGTGCGTCTGTGTGTCTTCAAATGTATCTATGAAGGTAATAAGAACATTTTGAGTACTTATTTCAAACCTTAATTATAACGAAAACAAACTTATTTTGTCTATTTAAGCCAATAACAAATGGAAATGAATAACAAGAATTCAAACTGGATTTGCTTTATAAAGAACAAAATAACGTTACGTGATTTATTTAGTCATGTTAGATTTTTAAACATCGTATTATGTACAGTATTATTAGCGGTCACAATCTTAACAACGTAAGATATGAAAAAGAAACACAATGATGATGGCAGACAAGGAAAGAAAACTACAATAACTCCTACAGAAGGTAGTGAATGAAAACGGGGAGAAAGTATTAAACATCAACTGTAAGAAGACAGAATGCATGGTTGTTAGCAAAAACTGATAGTCCAAAAATGAAATTACAACTCGGAGATACAAAAAAATCAAACAAGTCAAAAAATGTAAATATCTTGGAAGTGTTTTTAACAGAGCACAGAAAGTGCGGTACTGAAATCCGAAGACTCTCATGAAGAATTATAAACAGTAAGTCTCCAGGTTAGAATAGTCCCGGCGACGATGATTCGTGGTTATGACGCAGTCTTCATTAAACTTGTTTCGACTTATACTGTTTGCCTCGTACATGCAAAGCGGTGATAGAATACATTGCACGACGGAATAATACATCGTCATACCGCGCTAGAGTGTGAAAGGCAGCGTTACCCACTTCATGGCAGTACGCCATATTGAATTGTTGGCGAGTGAATGCTTATTCACGGAAAATCGTGAGAACGTCCCGACTTACACGGAAAAGTAACCTCGTCGTTGTTCACATGTTCGGTCCATGTTATCCCCAGCAATGACAAGGAGGGATGATGTTGAAAAATAAATATTTGTTGTTTCAAAGAAATGTTTTGTTTTTTTTCATCATTAGATTACGGACATCGATTTACCAATGTATATAGGCATCTACTAAGTTCAGCTTAGTCTGACACAAGGCCATAAATGTGAGGTATTCAATGATAATAACTAAAAATTATACTGCAGTGAGGTAACCAGTAGTTGCGTATATATACGAATGCGTTATGTTATCATGCTCGTTTTGTATATTTATGTTTTGATCTGTGCACATTTGATATATATTATGTATGTGGTTTATAATGTGATGTATGGGTACACGCTCGTACAACAGCCATGCCACCTAAAATGACATGACTATATTAATATTTAAATAATTCAAATGATAGTAATTATGCATGGGTATTGTAGCGAGTGAAGCGGATGTCTGTGTATGTGTATCTGTATGATGGTCTTTCTTTTCTTTTTCCGTAAGTGATCCTACCTGCACTATTGTAAAGTTGCTGTCATACAAATGATAAGTGGGGGAAATGTATGCGTCTGGCAAAGATGGCCGAATGTTTACAGAAACAAGCATAAGAAGGAAGCTGCGAAAAATAAATAAATACTTTCAAAAGTGAAAGTTAAAGTGAAAGTTGGATGGCAAGAGAAAAAGAAATACTGGCATTAAACAGTATTCTTATTTATTTATTTATTATAGTTGAGTAATCTTCTGTATTTATTCTTTATTGTGTTTCTGTTTGTCTATTTCTTTCTTTTCGTGTGTCGTCTAAAATGGCTGAGGCTCTCGCTTCAGGAAAAGATGAAAAATGAAAGAGAAACTGAAATGATGAAAAGTCTAGGGTCGAAAGGTTAAGGCAGGTTTAGAAAAGGGGCTGAATAAGACGAGATGGATGACTTTTTTTTGAAGAAATTAGAAAATGGGGATGACCAGATGTAAAAAAGGCAAATACAGAATAACAACTTTACAAATGACCCGACGGTATAATTACAGTTCTGAAGGCGATAGAAATAAATAATTTATTTCCACTGTTGGTAAGCAGAAAATATTTCGTTAGGAACCAAAGAGAACGAGTACTGAACGTTTATGTAATATCAGTCCTTCTATATAACAGTGAATACTGGGCAATCTGCGCACATATGAAACAACAGAAATGTGGTTCTACAGAATGATGCTGCGAATTGCTTTCTCACCGCCGTAGGGTTTTCTCTCAACGTCATTTCTATAAATACCTTTATGGCAATTGTTCAGTTGAGCTCTTCGCTCTGGTACAGAGACTTTTTTGAATTTAAGCGCAGTACTAGACTGGCGTCGAGATCTCATCAATTTGACTGCTGAGCTGTCTAGTTATAGCCGTAAGTTCTATGCTAACAGTTTCTTTTCTGGCGTTTCTCGCTTCCACTGCCCACCTTAATCTGCAAAAATTTAAATGCAAAGTCAATCGTTACTACTGTCTTCTTGATTACTCTTTTTCCTTCCTGCACATTATTCATGCTTCCGTTCCTACTTCTCCAACACCCTTTAACCACTTGTTTTTTACTGGCTTTACTGCCTTTCTTGGGGTGAATGAATAGAATGAACATGTGCGCAACGTTGAAGTCTTAGAGAAAATGGAACCAAAAGGACCCTTATACTTAATTTCAAGAACAAAGAGTTGACATTTCTATTACACATATTGAGAAAGGAGGGCTTGGAAAATTTGATACTCGCAGATTGAAGGCATGGAGAACAGAGGAGAACAACGCATAACCTACTTCGCGAGCTCGAATAAATGCGTGACGGAACAGGGTTGAGGGGGTAAAACAAAAATAAAAAGTTTATTAAGAGTTACAAAAGACAGGAAATTGTGAAGAAGAAGAAGAAGAAGAAGAAAAAACACACACACACACAAACACATACACAGACACACACAGATATATATATATATATATATATATATATATATATATATATATATATATATATATATAAGGTTTATTCATTGAGTAACAATTATGAACAAATTCATTACGATAAATGACTAATGCTCCGAATGGGTTATTTTGTAAAAAGATCCCTTTTATGTTCATATATACTTTTATATAAAATCCTAGAAATCTCACTTAAGTATTTCCTGTGACATTTCTTGCATTAAAATACATTTAATGAATTTTCATTAAAAGATTTATTGATTGATTCGTTTTCTACGGTTTACCAACCTTTTGCAGGTCATTTAAAGCCAGAAAATATTTTACATTGCAAGAATGTTTTTGAGATAATAATTGTTTAATAATACAAGTTTTACTAATTAAGCCATACCTAGTGAGGAGATGTGGATACATACCTTTTCCAACGGCATCTGTGCGTAAGTGGATATAACGAACCCAACTGAAATTGGAAGTCAAGTCGCCGATGAATAATTCTGAGCTGTTATCCATTACACCGAGCTTACAAGAGAAAGTAATTTTTATGTATATAGAAAGTGTACGGATTTCTGAGTCCATATAATTATATCAGATTATAACTGACGTTTTTGTTTATAATTTTACCTTCTTCTCCCACATAAATATAATTCGATGAAGGACCAAACGCATTATACAGATTTCTTTTTCCAATTTTGTCATTCAATTACCTAGCATTAATCTGATATAGAGAGTTTTGTATCATTTTTCCATATATATATATATATATATGTGTGTGTGTGTGTGTGTGTGTGTGTGTGTGTGTGTGCGTGTGTGCGTGTGCGTGTGCGTGTGTAAAAAATTCAGATAGTTTATATGTGTAAATGGACAATATGAATACATAAGTTCCTCGGGTTACGCCAGACCCGACGTCCGGCGCTTCGTGGTTACGGCGTCATCAACCATAAAATAATATGTCACCACTCGGCGCTATATGAGGAAGGCGGCGTTGCTTCTTCACCGACTGTACACCATATTGGATTGTGCTACATTCGTTATCTCTTCTTTCTGTGTTTTTTTTTTTGTTTTTTGTTTTTTACGGAGGAGCATTTTGCCCTTAATTATGGCTCCCAAGCATAAGGCAAACTCGTGCGTGCTTATTTAGGTGAGTTCCAATCTAAGTCCAAAATCGTGTTACGTCGCGCCGTACGAACGGATCTCCGACGTATGTCCCCCACGCCTGTGAAAACAAAAGGAAAACTTATCTTAGCGGACGCGTTCCGTCCCTTGAGGGACTTTATCAAGGAAAATGCAAGCTTTTTTTTTTTTTAATTTTGCAACAAGTATTTATATACCAAAGCAAAAATATTAATTGGTTTTTCAAAATTTTGAAATTTAACAACGTTCATAAATGTTCATCAAAAAATTAGGCAAGCTATGGAGGACGCCAAGTAACACAATTCAATGTCTAATAATCAAAAGTTAGTAAAAGATGAGAAAGGAAAACAAAAAGAACGTTTTGTAGTTAAAATCAAAAAGAGAAATATGTTGAAGTGTCTGGAACACATAGTGAGGAGATAGGGGTTGGAGAATTTGACACTTACAGAGCATATTTAAGCTAAGAGGGGGGGGAGGAAACAGCGCTTAACCTACATAATAAGCTTGTGTTGATAAATGACTGAACAGTGATTTTGAGGGATGGTAAGAGGACAAAAATCTTAGTGATACAATGGATAGGAAGTTGTGGAGAGTCATGTAAACGGATGGCAAAACAGTGACTGGGAGGGATAATAAGGAGGCAGACATTGGTTAGAACTACAAAGGATAGGAAGTTGTGGAGAGCCATGTAACTAGATGAGAGAATAGTGATTGGAAGATTGGACAAACATTGATTAGAGCTAAAAAGGATAGGAAGTTGTGGAGCGTCATGTAAATGGATGGCAGAACAGTGAGTGGGACGGATAATAAGGAGACATGCATAGCTTAGAGCTAAAAGGGTTAGGACGTTGTGGAGAGCCATGTAAATTGATGGCAAAGCAATGATTGGAAGGAATAGTAAAAGGACAAACATCGGTTAGAGCTACAAAGGATAAGAAGTTGTGGAGAGTCATTATCGCCAACATGCTGAAGAGGCACAGCGCATAAAAGAAGAAAACGTTATGAACTCGAATATTGACTTTCA